ACACACACACAGGTAACACACTCACAGGTAACACACACACACACAGGTAACACACTCACAGGTAACACACACACTCTTCCTCAGTAACCCTCCTCTCGTCCTCCTCAGCAGACGTTCAGCAGTTATGAGTCTCGCCACTCTTCCGGTCGCTCCTCAGCAGCCTCCTCAGCGTCCTGGGCGAACCCGTGTCCTCGCCGTGGTCGCCTCCTCTATGCTCCCCTCATCTTGGTGGAGGAGGAAGGCAGCCCTCCCTGGGGGGGAGGAGGAGGAGGAGGAGGGGGAGGAGGAGGAGAGTTGAAGAAGGCAGGAGCAGGAAGAGGTAAGGGGACTAATTCACTGAATGTTGGAACTTTAAACCTTTAAACCTTTTGTTCACATGCTAACAGCGATAGCAGTCACATGCTAACAGTCACATGATGTTTGTCCTCCAGGTGTCAGTGTGACAGGTGCAGCACCCAGACCGGCCTGGTACGGAGGCCCTGCAGGGACATCAGGTAGGAAGGTTAAACTCACAGAATGACCTTTGACCTTTGGCCAGAATGTTATCTTTATCTTAGGTGTCATGTGACTGTTGTTGTGTTGTAGCTCCGCCTCCATACAGAGCGTACACCACCCTCAGAGTTCCCTCGCAGCTCGGCGCCCAGCTCACGGAGAAACGTGGCTCAGCGGACAGTCTGGTGGAGGCGGTAAGGAGACGCTGATCGATCACTGATATTGATCCTGACTCTCCCTCAGTCACTGATTGTTTGTTCCTCCGTCTGCAGGTTCTGATCTCCGAGGGTCTCGGCCTTTACGCTCGGGATCCAAAGTTCGTAGCGTTCGCCAAGCGGGAGATCGCTGATGCGTGTCACATGACGGTGGACGAGATGGAGTCGGCCGCCAGCGACCTCCTTGGCACGGGGAGCCACGGGTTACTCGGCAACGCCCCGGCTGACCCCGCCGCGCTCTACAGCGACGAGGAGCCAATCAGGACGGGACGAGACGAGGATGAGCTGGCCGACGAGATGACCTGTGTGACATCATTCTGATGGGCTAAAGCTCTGGACCAATCAGGAATGAGACAGACTGGCATCAGTGATTGATAAGACATTTGACCAATCAGATGACAGGACAGGGAAAAAAGAAAAAGAGAGAGAATAGAGGATAAAGGTCATAATGGAGGTTTTACTGTTGACATTTTATGGACTGAGATAATCAGAGGAAGGAAGGAAGGAAGGAAGGAAGGAAGGAAGGAATGAAGGAGGGAA